ACACGGATTCATACCTACCATACTTTACTTCGTCTACTCATCTTTACATATATGTTCTTATCAGTTTAATATCTGATACGTGGGCCATTGGCTCACACGATATTAACTCTATTTTTTAAAAGAGAAAACCCACTAAGATAGCAAGCTTTCGAGAGTCGCCCATGCGTTGCACTATTGCACGGGCCGGGCTCAACCCGCTTAAAGAAAAAAAAAAAAAAACTTTATAATAACTTTAATTACAACTTTACATATTTGAATAAACACAAAAAAAAGATCAAAATATTGTTTAGAACTACAACTACGGCTACATCAAATAAAAACATACAAAGGACACTTTGTTACACAACAAACTTTTCAAAGATGATGTATGTAGTGGAGCAGGTGCAGACTCTGCAATGTTTTCTTCTTAGCGTAAACCGATTTCAAAGCAAGCAAAGAATAAGTAAATTGACTAAAACTAAAGAAAAGATCTTTCATTCAAGAAATGAAACTAATGTACACTATTGATTCATTTGGATAAATCTAGATGCTCCAAGGGTTAACCAATGTGACCTCATCCTCAATCTAAAGGGTACACTTCCAAAAAAATGTTCCAAATAATACATTCCATCAATTGACGGGAATGACACCCTGCAAGGTTCCAAATAGTGAAGGATGACAATACACAACGGAGTCCTGAGGCTGAGACAAACTTAAGTGAAGGCTCAAACAGAACTTAGCAAGTGAGAACTTTCATGCTCTTGCAAGGGAGAAAAACCTCAAGAAACAATTACAAATATGTACACATATCATCGTTCTGAAGGGCACAATTACATGATGGTGGCTATTGAACTATGCAAGCTGGCCAATATTTTGCAAGCCGAAAATATAGAATCATCTGTTTATGGTGCCAGACAGATGGTTAAAAAATGGCTACGTTCCAATCATCAACAACTATTGCAAATTAAAAGTATCTCTATGGATGGCCACTTCCACCAATTCCAACTTATCAAAAAACATCCACAGAGAGTTGAAGTCGGACAATATATCACAATTTTTAGACACTGCATGCCAGGTTTGGTTTTTCGCCAGACATCATACTGATTTTTAAAACGTAGAGAGTGTTTAACATAGCTTGGGAAGCAAAACTTCACACTGAAGATCAACAAACAGAAGTAAAGAAAATGGTATCATCTACCTTAAACCATAACACACAATTGATACAAAACTGGGTCAAAATTAACACAGTTTGGCGAAAGCTGATGCAAATACCAGATTCAAGAAAGCCAACAGAATCTAAAGTACAAGGACTGAACCAGAAAGAACAACATGTTCTTGTCTGCACTTGAAAAGAACCAAACACAAACAATGAAATATACATATTCTAGTAAAAAACCTAGAAAACAATTAAAAGTGAAAAATGATTAGAAGAAGAGGGTGATGCTCATATTCTATGGGTGTAATGTGAGTCTATCATGCCTTTAGAGCATTCAGTACGAGGAATTACTTTTACAATCATCGCATCCAAACCCAATTCATATTCTACAAACCACAAAAAAAAAGACCAAATGGTAATAATAAGGCTCAGAGTATTGCATAATGTGCTCAAAGGAGAGGTTATCAATCTCTCCTCATACAAGAGGTGTCAGAAATTTAGCATTATTCATCATCACCAATTACCACCATTACTTTCACACAAAACAACAACAAAACACTAATCAATACCATTGTAGCAAATGGGCATTGCTCAATGAGAGCAACAACAATTCAAAAAAACAATCTTTTCCATCTACTTCAATTCTACAACACAACAAAAGTAATAAAATTTCCAATGCTAATAACACAAAAACCAAAGTGACAAAAAAAATGGATTTTGAAGAGTGAGTGCTCATATTCTATGGGTGTAATGTGAGTCTATCAAGCCAATAGCTTTCAGTACGAGGAATTACATTTACAATCATCACACTCACAAATTCAGATCCAAAAATTGGTCTTCTAAAAAAAAACATTGGTAGGCTCAGAGTATTGCATAATGCGCTCAAAGAAGAGGTTATCAATCTCTTCTCATACAAGAGGTGTCAGAAATTAAGCATTGATCATCATCGCCAATAAAAAGCCAACACTTTCAAACTTCAACAACACATAAAACAGAGATCCTAAAGCGAAATCTAATTAGCTAAAAACAGAGAAGCGGCGGAGAAAGATTCATAAGAATAATTAGGGTTTTTGTTTCAGTTACTGATGAAAAAGACGAAGAATCATTGACTATATTTATAGATATTTAATGGGCTTATTGAAGGCCCATTAAAGTGTAGCCCTCGGAATCCATAAGCGGCTTACCCTCTTTAGGTTAAATGCCCGCCGACAAAAAAAAAATTCATAAAGATTCAGATCAAAGGCCCATTGGGCCTTGAAATTACCAAAGGTATATTTTTTTTTTTCTTTTGTTCTGCATAAAACAGTCTCATTCAGGCTTTGACACATTTTTGTCTCCTAAGAGAAGTCATCCATGAACTAATATTTAAAACAATCCTAACTACGAAGAACCAATAATCATCTTCCTTACCTTGTCAAGCAAGTTTCTTGACTTATCTTCAAGTTTCATCTTCAATTCTTCTGTAATCTTTCCCTCTGATTGTTCCAGCAATGATTTTATCTCCTCAAGCTTCTCTTTCAAACACTCGATTTCCGTCTTCCCATTAAGATTTTCAGGTGAAGCAGAAGATGGATACTTGAGCTTGAATGTTACTGTGGAAGTAGTAGCAAATGGGCATTTCTCTAACGACTTGTTAAATGCTTGTTCTCCATCAGATGCATTGAAGAAGGCAACGCGTGCGCATGAGTTGTTGTCGAAGATATAGCTTCTCTCTTTGTCCAAAGCTCCAAACTTTTCGTATATTTTAATCAAATCATCTTTTGAAGGCAGAGTAGAACCAAAACCAGTCTTGATATATAGCTCAACACCTGAAAATTGCTTCTCATTCGGTTCATTTCTGGTTTGCTCTTTCTCATCCACTACTTCGGGCTGCTTCTCTACATCTGAAATGTTTCTCTTGTTATTGAAGCTTCGATAAGTGGACACAAACTCTCTTACCATGTCACATGAGGTATTATAGTCTTTTGGATATTGTGCATTGAGAGCCGCTGCACGGATTAGATCCAGCATTTCCTCTGATGTAACTCCCAGTTTCACAAAATCGATAGCTTTTTCAGTCGTTATTCGCTCTGCTACTCGGATCTGACTTGATTCAGCAGATTCTATTTTGCTCTTTCTCGCTCTGCAACTAAAATCTGTCATGTATTCAGGCGAAAGATACTTACTTTTCTTCCTCTCTCTTTTACCTGTCTGCAATATCGTCTCGCCATTTCCATTGCTCCTTTTAACACTTGAAGTAACATCAACCTTGAGCCTTTTGCAGATTGAAGCCAATGGAGTTGCTAAATCAACATCAATTTCGATATCTGAACCATCTTTTTTCTCACTCTCTTCTAAATGGTTTGAGTCATTTGACTCTTCTCTTTTCTCAATCCCATCATCATCATTCTCATCCAAACCCATTTTGCTCTTCCTCTTCCTCGACGACAAACTCTTCCCGTTACTAATTTCTTCCTCAGCGTGTTCAATCTTCGATACTTCACTCAGTCTTCTCCTCCTCAAAGTAGTAGAACCAGTGGTTGCCACATCACCACATTTCCTCTTTTTCATAGCAAACCCTGTACACTTTCTCAATGATCTCTGACAAGATTCATCCTCTTTGTGTTCAAGTCCAATAATATATTGATGTTCATCAAACTTAGCTAAATCAAACCTTCCTTTACACCGATAAAACGCAGATATCTTCCTCTTCAAAACCTCAATCTCTAGCAAATCACTAAAACTAACTGTCTTCGCAAGTCTTTTAACATCTTCAAGAACAACTCCAGGATTTTCAAGAACCAAAGACGATATAATCTCTCTTCTAACATCAGGCACAACAACACCTTCCTTAATCCCCGAATTCAAAGCTACAGAACTAACCAAAGCCGCGTCATCACAAACCAAAAATTGCTCAACATGTTCACCAATCTCTCTCACAGCTTCTTCCACAGCACTAAGAAACCTTTTAGATTCACTCATCTTCGAAAACTCTTTAAAATTCTCAAGAAACGGTTTCAATTCCAATGGATTACACCAACAAAACTTCCCATCTCCAAAATAAGCCACAAGTAATTTACCCTTTTGCATTGTCTTCAAAGCCAAGTCTGAAGCATCTAAAGAATCATAAATCTGACCTGGCCACCATTGTTGACTATTAACTTCTTTTCCCCAAACAAAATCACCAACATGAAACCCATTTTCTAATTCCTCTTGTTCTTCAAAATTATCTCTCAATGACGAAACCTCACTCATCACATAATCTTCAATTTGTTCAGAGTCGTCTTCGTTAACATTCTCCATCTTAACATCGTTTTCCTTCAATTGGTCATCATCAGAACCATCATTCTCAGAAACCCTAGAACCAGTCGGTAGAATATTCCCCATAGACCCAAAAGATTCTTCTTGATTCTCTACATATTCAGACAACGACAATGATTAGAAACCAAACATAAACCTACGACAAACAGAAGAACCTTGGTACTCGCGACGACCAATTGAAAGAAAAAAAAAGGGTTTTTATTTTCAGGTAAAGTTTACATCTTTCGAAGAATAAGAAAATCAAAATCACCTGACGAAGAAGAAGCAGCGAATCTAGAAACCACCTTCTTCCTCGTTTCCTGCGGCGTAAAGTTTTCGTTTTTTTCCTCGAGAGAATATAAAAACGAGAAGAAAAAGGTTTAGACTTGTGTGATTAATGCTTTAGATTTGCTTATATCATACGTTTATTAACAAAATATTAAACTCATGTTTTATAGATAAAGCAACTTTATTAAAAAAAATCAGATTTTTATGCAAAAAAACACAATCTTTAACCATAATCCTTTAATCTTTTTGAGCTAGGCATTTCAACAAACACGTTATGTGCATCTAAACGAAGAACTTGTTGAAGACAAAATCCGTAAATACGAAACCAAATTGATTCAAAGTACAACAATTTCTCAAAGCTGAATCAACAATTTCAAACACAAACTATACTAAACAACACAAAAAGATTCATAAATTCCGAAAAAGATCACATTTTTTCCGATTGTTGAAGAAACTTAAGCAATGGAGACTTTAGCACCAGCTTCTTCAAGGGTCTTCTTAGCTTCTTCAGCTTCATCTTTAGTCACACCTTCTTTAAACTTCTTTGGTAATCCTTCAATTAGCTCCTTAGCTTCCTTCAACGCCAAGCTAGTCAAAGCCCTAACAGCTTTAATCACTGCAATACGCGAACTACTCGGAACTTCATTGATAACCACATCGAATTCGGTCTGTTCCTCCACTACAGCCGCCGCGCCACCGTCTGACGGAGCTGCAACAGCCGCTGCAGCAGGGGCTAAAGAGAGTGGGGAGACACCGAACTTGTCTTGGAGATAGTCGACGAGGATACGAGCCTCTTCGAGGGTAAGGGATGAGATTTCGGATCCGATTTTCTCGATTTTCTCCGGAGCTTCGACGGCGGCGATTGGACGGAGGTTGATTGCACGGTGGCTAGAAGAACTGAGACGAAATGGGAATTCGATTGCGGTAGGTTTGGAAGGGAAGTGATGGGTGGTAGCGGAAGTGAGAGGAGAAGAGGAACGGATTGTTGTTGCGATTGAGAGAGTCGTCGACGCCATTGTTGTTTCACTCTCTTCTTTCTGAATCTTTGGGATTTGTTTTGTGTGTCTCTGTGAGTGTGTTTGTAGAAGCTGAGGATAAAAAAACAAAAGATAAGGGGTGTTTTGGTCATTTCAAGTAATGCGTAGGCTTTGCTATCATGCGCGTGTATACGATTTGAGATGTTGAAAATGTAAAAAGGGGCGTTCCGAGAATCGAACTCGGGACCTCTCGCACCCAAAGCGAGAATCATACCACTAGACCAAACGCCCTTTCGGTATTATACGAAAAGTTTCAGATAGTATTATTAATCAAATGACATAATCTAACAATATATAAAACTAAACAATAACATGTTAGAAAGGGCTTTAAAAGATAGATACTGGGCCTGATTGGTAACAGCTGTAGCTTTACATTTTTTGCTGTAGAAATATGACTGTAGGTTTATTTGCTGTGGCTATAGATTTTATGGCTGTAGAATTTAAAATTTTGGAAAGTTGAAGGAAAAAAAGCTTTCTATAGCCAAAAAAGTGAATTAAGGAAATATTTTGGCTGTGAGAAAAAAAAGGAAAGCCAAAGCTTCTAAAGCTTGATTGGATGTATTTCAAATCTTTAGAAATTTTTTTGCTTTGTAAAGACTGTAAAGCAATTGCCAATTAGGCCTACTATCAACATTTAACTTTGAACAATCTGAATTAAGAACTGGCTTAAAAGTTTGTGATAAAACATTCTTCAATTCTAAAGAACCATATAATATAATTGTATACCAATGTAAATATATAATCTTCACGTTGGTAGCCTCTTTACACCAATGTTGATGCACTTGACTTTTACTATTTTTAGAACACATGTGATCTTCGTTGTTGGTGTTTTCACATCGACTTCGACGGTCTTGTGAAACATTGACATGGGCACTTTAGCATTTAGTAAAGAGATGTACACTTGTTATGTGGATCTTGCGTGGTCAGCTGTTACATGTCTTGGCCTGAGCATCTGGCTGCGCCAAAATTCTGATAAGAAAAATTGCATGAAAAAAATGGAAGATGATTTTGTTTATAATTATACCAAAGGAGATCACAAGAAAAAATCTTGGACTCACTTCTCAACCAAGTTCAGGATGAGATGCCTTAGAAGCGGGTTGCTACCGACTACTGGTAACAAGTTATGCCCCCATGCTTGCAAGCCTACGTATAAATGATTATCTTCGGAATTACCTAAAGAGGCATGTCCACATTTTTACAGTCGAACAAATTAGAATACAGATCACACAAATTTCCAACACTCTTTTGGCCCTAAGGGATCACAATCACACAAACCTGAGCGCTATCATCCAAACTGTGAGCGGAATCACGATATGTTCTTCATACATATGCTGCTTACTCAGATTCCTCAGAGACTGCAATACCGTAGTCAGATTCAGGAGTATGACATAAAGGAACCTATTTAGAGAGAAGAATATAAATCAGATTTAACAAACATCAAAAATAATCATCATTAGACTTTTTTACTAGAAAATCTCATATCAATATTATCCAACAGCTTGGACAAATTAGACTCATTGAACATCACATGCCATGGACATGATACTTGGGAAATAGCAAGGCCATAGTAATCGAGAAATCTTATTACCCTATACTCAGGAAAATTCGGATAAGTCTCCGGTGGATTGGCGGTGTAAGCCGTTAGACCTAAAGGATCTATCTTGTGTTAACAAGTGGATGATACCACAAAACACATCGGATGAGTTATCAAAAGAAAACAGACATGAGACATCAGTCTCTGCCGATGAACAGCTAAAAATAATTCGTAAAAAGCATCGGAGGATTCTTTTTTCCTTCGATCAACGAATTCTTTATAATAACACAAACACGAGAAATGAAATAAGCACTTATGTGTGTCTCATGAAACAAATAAAAGACCTATGAAAAAAAAACACTTCATATATATTTTAAGAACTCCGATTGTTTTGTTAAAACTTAAACAATGGAAACCTTGGCGCCAGCTTCTTCGAGCTGTTTCTTGGCTTCTTCTGCTTCATCTTTCGTCACGCCTTCTTTAAACTTTTTCGGAAACCCTTCTGTGAGCTCTTTCGATTCATTCAAGCACAAGCTAGTCATAGCCCTAATCGCTTTGATCACGGCAATACGATTACCAATTAGAACGTCATTGATAACCACATCGAATTTGGTCTGCCTCTCCACAGCAGCCGCCGCACCACCATTGTCTGGGGGAGGAGGGAAAGCCGCTGCAGCAGGTGCTGAAAAGAGTATTGAAACACCGAATTTGTCCTGGACATAGTCGACGAGGATGCGGGCTTCTTCAAGGGTCAGAGACGAGATTTCAGATCCAATTTTCTTTATTTTCTTCGGAGCTTTGACTGCGGATATAGGATGGAGGTAGATTGCACGGTGGCTGAGCGTGGAAGAAGAAGAAGAAACACCAAAGCTAAACGGAAATTCTATAGCGACGGGTCGAGAAGGGAAGTGATGTGTAGAAGCTAGACCGGAAGAACGGATCGTGGTTGCGATGGAAAGAGTCGTAGCTGCCATTTTACTTCTTCTTTGGATTTTTTTTTGTGTGTCTCTGTGTGTGTTCCTTGGGCTGCACGAGAGAAGAAGAAAAATAAGAAAAACCTTAACTTTTTTTTTTATATAAAGATACAAAACCCTAACTTTATGCCTTGATGAAACTGTGGTTGATAGGTTTTTTTTAATAATTTCTACTTTCTAAAATCGTTTGATTTGTTTCCTTTTTAATATTAGGGTTTGTGTTAGAGAAGGCAATGAAGTTAGATGTGAGAATTTATTTTCTTTGGACAGCCATTTGACAATGGTTTAGAGCCCTCGTAGGGAATCCTTGTGTCTCAAGAATTGCTTGTCTCTTTGTTTCTCTGTTTCACTCTTCTCTTAATAAAATCAGTTCTATATCTAAGGTACATGGCTTTTAACTCCATTTGTAGTAAACGGCCCGGACATTAACATCGTTTAACATAGGTTAAAGCAACAATGAGAAAACGATTGATTCTATTGGTGGAGAAGGCACTTGAAGTAAAACAAGCGGTTATGGTTGGTAACAAGTGTTTAATGAAAAGAGGAAAAGTAAGGCTCTAAAAGAAAACTGAGAGTGAGATTGTTTTTTTTTTGTTTTTTTCCAAATTGTGTTTTCTTCTTCGTGAGGAGAACTTAGGATACTAATGTTGATTTCAGCATCTAGATATGTGATGAGGAAATTAACCATATTTTTTTTTTGTCAACAACTTTTAATTAAAGCTCAAATGACTCATTCCTCAGAAATGTTGTTTACATATGTGATATGATGCGGTTCGGTACGAACTTTTCGTGCCAAATAATCCGCTTTAACATTTGCACAACGAGAGATTAAAAGATAAAGGGAAGCTTGTGAATTATTCCTTGTCGCTCTGAAATTCCTCAAAATATCCTGAAATTAACGCTATATATCTTCCTTTATTAATGGTTGACTTCGGATATTTGCAATCTAAATTCGATTTATGATTTGTAGACAAAATTTTCATAGACTTTGACTTTGTTCATGAAGAGACAATTTTCATAATTATCTCAGTTTATTTCAAAATCATATATCTTATTATATAAAGTATGGTTTTCAAAGTTAGTAACTCATAGAATCATGACACTTGGCAAATCTATTGATCTTAGATTTTGACATGTGTAAAACAAAAATTTCATTTAAAAAAAAAAAAAAAAGATAATTGTAAGTAATTATAAATTTAAATAATTTTAAAAATGTAAAAGATAATTATAAGGATAATTATAAATAACTAATATTTCTATAAACAATTTAAAAATGTCAAAAGATAAGAATAAGAAAATTATACATTTTATATAATTAAAAATATATATTTCAATTAAACAAGAAAAAAATCAGGCAAATTTATTAAAAAGAAAACATATATTATTATATAACTAATATGATATATTAATAAAAATCTATTGGATTAGGGATTGGGACAAAATATATTGGGCTTAGATGTAGACTTGTAGGAGGTTAACCAAACATTTTCTATTTCATTCGGGTACCAATGGATATCAGTTTGTTCTATTATTATCTAATATCCAATGGATAGTGTGACTGAGATCCATTCAGATACTTAGTGGTATCCATAACTTAACCGTAACCCCTTTTTCGATTTGGTTCTTCTGTTTCGGTTTTTTTGCTAATGCATATCTACATTTATAAATAGATAGGTCGGGATCTGTTGTTTTCTCAACCAATCTCGCAATTTCCGATGGTCAATCAAACCGCTGAAGCCAAATGATTCGTCATAGTGGAAAAGATGGCGAATTCAAGGTGTCAAAATCTTCGATCTAGTGTTGGGGCGTTACGCAGATTCTTGACACAAGCAGATATATGTGCTTTGGAAAAGATGTACATAGAGGCATTTTGGTGATGAAGATATAGTTACAACAAACAATTATCTATGGATGAATAAGGCGGATCTGATTTCGATATCATGGAAGAGACAAGTTTCAGATACAAATCCAACAACATTCAATTTCAGTTTATTAATCAAAGTTATGCCAAGGACATTATAATATTTTTGCTTCAGTCTTAAAGATTAAATACCAAAAAAAAAGTTATTATAAAGACAATAAACTAATAGAAAAATGAATCTAAATCCTATAATCATCACTAATTAAATCCACCATATTCCATATCATGATCATTAAGACTTTCATATATGTAAAATTAAGCCATAATGTAATGAAGTAATATATTCTAGATTAAAGTAGAAAAGAATCCAACTTTATTTACAAAAGAGAAAACCCATCATATTTCTCTATATATATTAATAAGGGCTTTGAGTACTATTCAGTTCCATTAGCAAATATTGAAAAAATAAACAATACAAAACAAAAAAATGGTTTCATCAGGCAAATACGTTTTCCTCGTGTTCTTATGCATGGTTGTTCTTCTCGCCCCAAGTATGCCAAAAAAAACGTTTATATTTTTTCTGTTTAATTATATGTCAATTTATTCGTATATATTGAAGTATAACCAAAATAGCAAGATTCATGAGTTAATACTTAACACTAACTAGCAAACCAAATATTTATTTTATATCAGATATTGTATCATATCTCCATCTTCTCTACAATAATTATTTGAGAAGTAGAAACGCACCATATTGAAAGTTAGGGCATTGGAGGCCTGTGATTAAAAGTTGGAATGATTTGTCCTAAACACCCTTAATGAATTATTCTTCTCGAAATTTCTTCTTCTTCGTAATTAGGGGTATATAAGTCTAATCGTGTGTTGATCTCTATAATAATGTCTCAAACACCCTCAATTTCGAAATTTTTTGTTCTTAATTGTTAAGGGTATATAAGTCTAATCGTGTTTTGAGATGATTAGTCTTAATCACCCTTAAATTTTTTTATTTTATAGTGTAATCGTTGGGGATACGGATGTCATAATGTCTCGACTTTAATGATTATGGAATCTTAGCTTAAATTTATTTGTTAATTTTTTAGATAATTCTATATCTTAGTAGTTAATATTCGTTTTTGTTAGTTTTCTGATTTTGTTTCTAATTAAAAAGTTAAATTTCTTAAGATAATAATTGATGTTTGCCCTAATCTTAAAGCTATATATATTGTTGATCGGCCAGAGAATTAGGTATTATTTTTTCTGTGCCCATTAGATAGTTTTCACCATTATGGTTTTTTTATACAGCTACGATTTTGATAAATCAAATTGTTTGTCATGCATATATTGTTTTCATTTACCTTTAGAGGTCGTGTGCATATTGTTTGCTGTTTGTTTTATTTTTTACATTAGTTTGTTAATTTATTGTTTTGCTGATTTGATTCTTTTGGTATGTGTTTCAGTTTTGTAGAGCGTGGGAGGTTCTATCGACAAAGCTTTTGGACGAAAGTGGTGTTGATGATAACAGAACGAGGTTTGGAAAGGTATTTTTACATCTATTTACCTATTTAAATGTTTGTGTTTCTTTCTGTTATGTACATAGTTTGGATTATGATCACTCGTGGATCGTTAATAATTTATGATCAATTGTGCTGACTGAGAGAAACTAAGATTTTTTTTTTGGTTCTCACCGTTTTTCTAAGTTCGCTTTGAGAATTTATTATATATTTATTTTGTATGAATAATTTTATTGGAAAAAATGATGTTTAGGGATAGTGTACACGTACTCGACGGGGGTGAATTACACCTAAGCTTAGATGTCTTCAAAAGGCCATCACTCACAACAACATCCTCTTCACCTCAATGGCTTCACGTAAGTGGATTCAAAATAATTTCTCTATATAATATATCAAGTTAAGTGAATGAACATATATAATGTAATGTTGTTGAAAATTGTGGTTGCAAGATATGTTGTGTTCGGGACTAAGAAGCATGGGAACGGGAAGATTGATGAGCTAGAGAGGCATATTGAGTCTTTGATATGGGAAACTGTTAAGGAAAGAGAAAGGGAATGTGTGGGATTAGATGATTACGAGAAGGTAATCTCTAATCTAACTATATATATTTGTATTTTATTATGAATTATTTATATGATTTTCTTTTTGTTTTTTTGAAACTAACATTAATTAATTTACTTTCTAAAATATACTGGGTCTCTTTTGAATCTCGAGAAAAACAGAGTTCTCTAAAACGAGATCGGTCGAGATTGCATAGGTATGTCTATCGTGATGAAACTGTTAAATAGATATTGGGCTTTTAAGCAATTCTATCGCTTTAAAAAAATTTTGTAATCGTGAGAGAAAACTTTAGGGTTTGATTGTTTCAATTTTGATTTAGAATACGGAATTTTCGTTTTCTTTTTCTTTTTTTAAATAGTAAGGTAAATTCTAAATATATTACGGATATTTTTATCAAGAAAATTTCTAATTTTTAAAAATTAAAATTTAAGAAATAATTATGACGGTTTGCCCTAGATATTAAGGTATAAATATAGAGCTTCGGCCACACCATTAAAACTCATATTCGTTAACCTAAATATATAGTTTTGATAATATATATATTTTGTATTGTTTTGGTTCTAATGAATCGAATTTACTATGGAATGATTATGATTGTTTTCTTCATGTTGAGATGACACTGATTTCATGATTTAATTTTTTATAGATTCTGATTTCTTCAAATTGAAATATTAATTATTTTTACGTTTGTTTGCAGGTTGGATGTGTGGAAAGAACACATCGATGTTGAAAACGTTGGAATGCAAGCTAACACAGCCAAGATATTGGTCATGCAAAGATCTCTTATGATTTTGTGACTAAGAATTTAAGTGTGACTTGGGCTTATGAGCTAACAACCTCTGATCCTAAGGAGAGTTCAAGCCTTTCTTACATCATCGACCTCGCAAACCATCAGAAGTAATGTTCGGGTTTATAGCTGCTGCTGGAACAAACACAGAGGAACATAGACTTTTATCATGGGAGCTCAGTTCAAATTTGGATATCGAGAAAGCCGATAGCAAGATAGGATTGGTAGTTGGCATTTCGGTTTCCGGGTTTGTTTTACTGATAGTTTTGGTCCACACGATCGTGGTGGTTTGGTCACGGAAGCAAAGAAAAAAGAAGGACAGAGATATAGCAAACATGATATCGATAAACGAAGATCTTGAAAGGGAAGCAGGACCAAGAAAGTTTTCTTATAAAGATCTTGTGTGAGCAACCAACAGATTCTCAAGCCATAGAGAGCTAGGTGAAGGAGGATTTGGAGCGGTTTATGAAGGAAATTTGAAAGAAATCAATACAATGGTTGCGGTGAAGAAATTATCCGGTGATTCAAGGCAGCGAAAGAAAGAGTTTTATATGAAGTTAAGATCATCAGCAAACTGAGACATCGAAACATGGTGCAACTCATTGGTTGGTGTAATGAAAAAAACGAGTTCTTGCTGATATATGAGTTAGTGCTAAATGGTAGCTTGAACTCCCACCTCTTTGGCAAAAGACCCCATTTACTTTCTTGGGACATAAGGTACAAGATAGCTCTTGGTTTAGCCTCTGCTCTGCTTTATCTTCATGAAGAATGGGATCAATGTGTACTGCACAGAGACATCAAAGCAAGCAATATAATGCTTGACAGTGATTTCAATGTAAAGTTAGGTGATTTCGGTTTGGCTCGGGTTATGAACCATGAACATGGTTCCCATACAACAGGATTGGCTGGAACTTTTGGGTACATGGCACATGAATATGTAACGAAAGGAAGTGGGAGTAAAGAGTCTGATATATATAGCTTTGGAATTGTTTTACTAGAGATTGTCACAGGGAGAAAATCGCTGGAACGAACGCAAGAAGATAACAGTGATTCAGAGAGTAATGAGAAGAGTCTTGTGGAGAAAGTTTGGAAACTTTATGGAAAACAAGAAGTGATGACTTCGTCTGTTGATGAGAAATAGGGTAATGAATTCGATAATAAAGAAGCTGAGTGTCTTCTGGTTTTAGGGTTGTGGTGTGCTCATCCTGATAAAAAAGCTCGAGACCTTCGATAAAACAAGCGATACAAGTCTTGAATTTTGAGTTACCATTACCTGATCTTCCATTTAAGAGGGATGTTGCTATGTATTACATCTCAATAACTACGACTTCTTCTTCTTCTCCCTAGGTTAACTCAAATGGAGTTTCGGTATGTATTACATCTCAACTCTGCTCTGTTTTTTTTTTCATCTTAAAGTATTATTGGTCATGCTCTTGGAAAATGATTATTCTTTGCATAATCATACTTAATATCATTTGTACATTGTTATTAATACTACTTTGTATGTATTAGAGATGAGAATATTTTAAACATTCCAGTGTTTTCCTTCTTTTAAGTTTTATATATATATATATATATATATAGATAGGTAATACTCGATCTTTTATGAACCGGTGGATAGGTAATATTCGATCTTTTATATATAATTTGTTTTCATTATGGATTTATAATTTAGATTAAGGTTCCAATGTTTCCACGTTTTAGAGTTTGTAAACGTGGTATTTCTCTTTTTTTAGTCAAGCATAAATTCTCCAAAAATATTAGGGTTTGTTTGATCCTTTTTCTCTATGAGCGGCTATCCAAGACGAGTTCAAAGTTGAGATTGTAGAGGTATCATTGTTTTTTATTGGTGGTTGTGTTTTCATATTGGTGTATTTCTACTTTTACATTGATTTCTCTGGTTGTGAATGATCAGTTGATTAAGTTGTTTGATATTTGAGATTTTGGTTCTTTTTGTTTTGTTTTAAATAATTTGTGATTTCGTATATTTAAAATAATATTTTCATTTTGTCTTTCATATTTATGATTCGGTTACATCCAGGGATGGGTTCATACGAAAAATATAGATATTTTTTTTAGGATATTTGCTTTCTTGAAACAAAAAGTTGAGTGAATTGTTTTTAGGTTACGCAATTTTTATTAGGTTTAAAATATTTTGAGATTGCTTTTGATCGTGCAATATACGGATTCGTTAGTGCCAGATTAATTTATTGAAAAGTTGTTCCTCCTTCTTTTTCTTTATTTTATCAATACCCTAAGAGATCTAATATCGTATGCATCAATAAAGTATCTTCTTTTACATTATCGGTGGATCCATTATTTTTTTATATTTATGGATAGTAAGAGATCTCACCGAACTTGATGCAGCTACAACTACGTTACAACGGTGTACAAGAGTTACATGACCAGAAGGAATTTTTGCAGATTGTGCCATCGTTGTTGAGGAGCTCTGGTGAGTTACTTGATCCATCTTCTTCTTTTTAATTTCTTTTAAAGATGTTTAGGCTAACCCTAATTGGTATTGCTTGAAATGTTGTAGGTGGAAGACTCTAGAGGGTAATGCTCTGGATTTGAGCTATGTTCTTTTTTTTTTTATAAGAAGAGAAACATGAGGCGATGTTTCGAAATGGGCGCGAGCTAGAAAACGAGGTGCTAACGTCTGACATCATTTTATCTCTGTTTACTTATAACTCAAGGTGTTGTTAGTATATCTATATCTCTCTTTATTATGAAAAACCAACGTGAATCTCACTCTTTAGGTTGGGAAAGGCTTATCTAAAGATGAAAAGACTCAAAAATTAGCTCTTTAGCATTGGCTTGAAGTTGTAAGTCCCCATATCTTTTTGTAACTTTTTATCAAAGACAAGCTAAGTACATGTGAAGAAACAAATCTATGTGTTTAGTAGCAAAACACAAGATCAAGAGTTATTAGTTCCTTTTGGTTTCGTTGATCTATTATAATCTAATGACCATCTAATATAATGACCCCTCTCTTGAAATTACAGATTGACCCACATCATCGTTATGGCCACAACTTGCACTTCTATTATGATGTCTGGTCAGCGAGCAAGAGCTCACATCCATTCTTTTACCGGTACGGACTTAGATCCAATATCCATCTTTAGATCCTCCTATCTTGAATGTGTTCTAAACTCTGTTTTCACTGATTTGAAACTAAATGTTGGATATAGGAGACGACAAAGATGTAAATCTTGAGAAACACCCGAGAAGTGTTCTGCAAAAATAATGCATTAGATGCTTGGGACTGGTGAGCTTTTTATCTGATTTGACTCGACCATAATGATTAGCTATAACTCTTGAATACTCAATAACCTCTGTGTTTCTTTGAAACACGCAGATGGAGAGAGAAGCATATAAATAATAGTGGAAGATGGGAGACTAATTTATAAATAGGGCGTGACTCTGATTAACTCAACAGTGGAAGCCAAGTCGATTTTTGTACTTAGTAAAATAAACAATTTGAATAAAAGACGACGGCAGAAGCTCGAGACGAGTCGTTTCAGCCGTCACCAGAGACTAATGAAAGTCATGCTGAAGTGAAAGAAACACACTACATAAGATATATATATATATATATATC